CATCTTGTATTTTCCTTGCCCCACATGTAGAATCAAGTATTTCTCCAAAGAGCCTTGTTTCTTTTTATTAGAAAATGGTATTTTGAAACCAAGATCTGAGGAACTGAGTATTCTTGTTGCTATTGGGGTGTGACTGCTTTTGGACTCCAGTTTTTTGTTTGCTTTAATTTTTATTTATTTTTAAAGATTTATTTATTATTTATTTTTGGCTGCATCGGGTCTTAGTTGCAGCATGTGGGCTCTTCGTTGCAGTGCACAGGCTGCTCTCTAGTTGTGGCATGCAGATTTTCTCTTCTCTAGTTGTGGCGCTTGGGCTTCTCTAGTTGTGGTGTGTGGGTTCTCTCTTCTCTAGTTGTGCGCAGGCTCCAGGGCACGTGGGCTCTGTAGTTTGCGGCGCACAGGCTCTCTAGTTGAGGCGCATGAGCTCAGTAGTTGTGGTTCACAGGCTTAGTTGCCCTGGGGCATATGGGATCTTAGTTCCCTGACCAGGGATGGAACCCGCGTCCCCTGCGTTGTAAGCATTGTAAAGCGGATTGTTTACCACTGGACCACCAGGGAAGTCCAGTACTTCATTCCTTTTAACTGCCACATAATATTCTAGTGTATGGATATATACCACCTTTTGTTCATTTCCTCAGGTGATGGACATTTGGGGTGATTCTACATTTTGTCTGTTATGCTGCTGTGAACATTTCTGTACAAGTTCTCATGTGGATGTAATGTTTTCATTTCTCTTGGACATATACCTGGTAGTGGACTTGCGTGGTACATGGTTAACTATGTTTATTCTTTCAAGGAAATGCTAGACTGTTTTTCAAAGTGGCTATACCATTTTGATCCCTTCCAGCCATGTATAAAGCATTCTAATTTCATGACATCCTGGCCAAACATTTTGTTTGTTTGTTTAATTAATTAATTAATTTACTTTTGGCTCCGTTGGGTCTTCGTTGCTGCGCTCAGGCTGTCTCTAGTTGAGGCAAGCGGGGGCTACTCTTTGTTGCAGTGTGCGGGCTTCTCACTGCTGTGGCTTCTCTTCTTGCAGAGCAAGGGCTCTAGGTGTGTGGGCTTCAGTAGTTGTGGCTTGTGGGCTCTAGAGCGCAGGCTCAGTAGTTGTGGCACACGGGCTTAGTTGCTCCGTGGCATGTGGGATCTTCCCGGAGCAGGGCTCGAACCCGTGTCCCCTGCATTGGCAGGCAGATTCTTAACCACTGCGCCAGCAGGGAAGCCCTGGGCTCATTTTTAAATTGAGTTATTTCTCTTTATTACTGAGTTATAAGCATTCTTTACGTATTCTGGGTACATGTCCCTTATCAGATAAATGATTTGCAAGTATTTTCTCCCATCCTGTGGGTTGTCTTTTCATTTTCGTTATGGTGTCTTTTATTCTTTCAGGTATTCCTATTACATGTATCTTACACTTCTTGTAGTTGTCCCACACTCCTTGGATATTCTGTTCTGTTTTTCCCCCCCAGTCTTTGTTCTCTTTGCTTTTCTGCTTTCGAGGATTCTATTGATAATATCCTCTAGTGCAGAGGTTTTTTCCCTCAGCTGTGTCAGTCTTACTCAGCCCATCAAAGGCATTCTTCAGTGTTTTTATCTCTAGCATTTGTCTTTGGTTCTTTCTTAAGATTTCCATCTCTCTGCTTACATTGCCTATCTCTTTTTGCATGCTGTTTACTTTGTCCACTATTAATTATCCTTCAATATTTGATGTCCACTATTAATTATTAATCATCGTTGTTTTAAATTCCCAGTCTAATAATTCCAACATCTTTCCCATGTCTGGTTGTGATAATTGCTCTCTCTTCATTTGTGATTTTTCCTTTAGGTATGCCTTATCATTTTTTCATGTTAGTTAGCTGTGATGTACTGGGTAAAAGGAACTGCTATAAATGCCTTAGTAATATGGTGGTGAAGTGTGAGGGGAAGGGGAAGAGTTCTGTTCTCCTATGATTAGTTTTCAGTCTTTTTAATGAGGCTTTGACTCTGGACTGTGAACTTTTCAAGAGTTTCTGTTTTTCCTCACCCCCTATGTGGGATATTAGGGCTGGAGTATTTTCCGTAAGATGTTATGGAGAAACCCTAACGAACTTTCGGCTAGCCCAATATTTCTCTTTCCCTAGGTCAGTTAGGCTCTGACAATATCCTAGCAAGTTAGGCTGTAACTGGTTTCTCCTGAAGGCAGGCCTTGTTAAATACAGAGTCCTTTGGTGTATTTCAAAGGATTTGACTCCATTCTTTTGCATGTGAATATCCAGTTGTCTCAGCACAATTTGTTGAAAAGGCCTTTCCCCCCATTGAATTGGCCTTATATTAGTACCAAACTGTCTTGATCACTATAGATTTGTAGTGTTTTGAAACTGGAAAGTGTGAGTTGTCTAACTTTGTTTTTATTTTTCAAGATTGTTTTGGCTATTCTGGGTCCCATGAGTACCAGCTTTTCCATTTCTGTAAAGAAGGCAATAGGGGTTTCCATACAGTGATGCTGAATCTGTAGATAAGCTTGAGGAGGATTACCATCTTAACAGTATTGAGTCTTGCAATCTATGAACATATAATATCATGGATATTTAACATTTATTTAAGTCTTTAATTTCTTTTAAAAATGTTTTGTACTTCTCAGAGTGTAAGTTTTGTATTTCTTTCATTATACTTATTCCTAAGTATTTTATTCTTTTTGATGCTATTATACAGGTTTTTGTTTTGTTTTGTTTTGTTTTTTGCGGTACGCGGGCCTCTCACTGTTGTGGCCTCTCCCGTTGCGGAGCACAGGCTCCGGACGTGCAGGCTCAGCGGCCATGGCTCACGGGCCCAGCCGCTCCGCGGCATGTGGGATCTTCCCGGACCGGGGCACAAACCCGTGTCCCCTGCATCGGCAGGCGGACTCTCAACCACTGCGCCACCAGGGAAGCCCCTTGATGCTATTATAAATGGAATTTTCTTAATTTCATTTTCAGTTTGTTCAGTGCTGCAGTGTAGAAATATAATTGATGCTGGTATATTGATCTTTTATCTTTCAATTCTGCTGAATTTGTTATTCTAATATATTTAGTGGGTTCCTTTTGAAAATCTATATACAGGATTATCTAATTTGCAAATAGAAATAACTTTGCTTCTTACCTTCCAACCAAGATGCGTTTTATTTCATTTCCTTGCCAGCTGGCCTGACTATCATCTCCAGTATAGTGTTGAATAGAAGTGGTGAGAGTGGACATCCCTGTCTTATTTCTGAAATTACTTCACCACTAAGTATAATGTTAGTTATAGTTTTGTTTACTACATTCCCTTTTTCAAGTTGAGGAGTTTACCTTGTATTCCTAGTTTGTTGGATGTTTTCAGTCATGAAGGGGTATTGAATTTTTGAGTTATTTCTTAGTGGTTACCCTCGGGATTACAATCAACATCATATAACTGTATCTAAGTTCAGTTAATAACCATCTTAATTTCAGTGGTGTACAGAATCTTTGCTCTTATGTAACTCTGATCCCTCCCCTTTACTTTGTTTTTTATTGGTAAACAAATTCCTTCTTTGTGTATTTTTTGCCTTTCAATAGATTTATAATTATTATACTATGTAATTATCTTTTAAATTAGGAGGAAAAAAGTTATAAACAAAAAGTACATTTATTGTTTCTTTCATATTTATCCTATACTTATCCTATGTTTTGATTTGTGCTCTTCCTTCATGTTGTTTCATGTACTGGCTAGTGTCCTTTCATTTCAGCCTGAAGGACTCCTTTAGTGTTTCTTTTTGTTTTTTTTTTAATTTATTTATTTTTGGCTGGGTTGGGTCTTTGTTGTTGCACATGGGCTTTCTCTAGTTGCGGTGACCAGGGGCTACTCTTCATTGAGGTGCATGGGCTTCTCATCGCGGTGGCTTCTCGTTGCAGAGCACGGGCTCTAGGTGTGTGGGCTTCAGTAGTTGTGGCATGCAGGTTCAGTGGTTGTGGCTTGCTGGCTCTAGAGCACAGGCTCAGTAGCTGTGGCGCATGGGCTTAGTTGCTCTGCAGCATGTGAGACCTTCCTGGACCAGGGCTCGAACCTGTGTCCCCTGCATCGGCAGGCGGATTCCCAAACATTTCCCGCGCCACCGGGGAAGTCCTGAAGACAGAATTTTTGAGGTTACTGGCTCTGCCATTTTCACTGCTGTCCTTAGCTTATTTATTCTTACCTTGTTCTTTCATTCCCTTCTTCACTCCCTTTTACTAGTACTGTTAGATGAGAATTTGTCTGGATTTTTTCATATGTGAAATGTGGGACACTGCCAAGGACATTCACTGTAGCAGTATTTACAATAGCAATAGAGTGAAAAACAACCCAGCTGTTCCAAAATAAGGAAGTAGTTTTTTTTCTTTTAATGGTTCATCTATATATCTGTATGATGGAACATTATGCACATACTAACAATCATATATACAAAGGAAAATGTTTATGATATGATACAGATTGAAAAAACAGTATAAAATAAAATATATTCAAGTTTTCGAAAATAAGTTTTGAAAACTTGAAATACATTCAAGTTTTTGAAAATAAGTTTTGTAAAGAGATAAGCATATATTAGCATCAAAAACTCTTGGAGGAGCCATATCAAAATGGTAGCATTTGTTACTTCTGGTTGGTAAACGGTGTTAAGTAAAACAAATTATCTTTGTTCTGTATTATGTACCATAAGGTTGTATTAATTATTTTTTGTTATTAAAATAAAATATACCCATTAATGTGACACACATATTAAACTGTTTTTCATTCGTGTGTTCAATTATATAACTGTTGAACTTTGGCAATTTAACATTAATTTTTATAAATATTTAAAGAGATAGTTAGAACACATGCTAATAATAACCCTGGCATTGGGGCTAACAAAATATATATGAGCTATTTTAATCTCCATAGTCTACTGTGTAGAAAGGAGTTTTGTTGCGCTGGAGTATATCAGGGTGAATTGTTAGTTAGATGAATAACCTGTAATCTTACTAGCATTTCATTCTTTTTCTTTTCAGGCGCATATTAAATTTCCTATTGACTACCCATATTCACCACCTACCTTCAGATTCTTGACCAAAATGTGGCACCCCAACATTTATGAGGTAAGAGAAGTCTATCATGAATTTCTCTGAAGTTTTATTTAAGATAATATCCTTTAAAATAGCCTCCATAGCTCAGTATGCTGTGGTAGTTATGCTGTAGCCACAGAGAAGTATTCATGGTTTCCCATTTTTGGTTAGCAGTCTGTAGTTGAATTGCTCAAAAATTGGGGTTTTTTAATACCAGTGTATATTATGGTTAATTTAAGGTTGAGGCTTTAAACCTTTGCTGCTCATCGCTAAGATTATAATTCATATTTGTTAACATTTGCATTTTTTTAATTTAGTAGATAAAGTCATACAAATTTATTTGTGTACCTATCCTCTAGCTTCACAGCAAGGGTTTGTTTGTTGCTTTGATCAGAGATTCAGCTTTGGGACAGGAAGGGGTGGGAATTTATCCTACTATATTTGTACTGGTGTCCTTTAAGGAGTTGCTGCATACCAGTTGAGAGCCTCTTTTGGAATAAATCCAAGGTTAGGTTCTTCTACTAGACAAGTCCACATGCCTGGGAAAATAATTTGTAGCTTTTTTTATGAAATGTACTTAGCTTTGTGCTAATTTATAAGGATGCTGGAACAATGCATTATGTTTCTCAGGATATATGTCAAGGCCCACTAAAATATCCTTTGAGTCTACTCCTTTACCATTCTGTAATCTTTTTCATTGCAGTAGTGCTGTGAAGTTGTAGCTGAGGCCCAGGCATTAAAATTGTTTTTTAAAATTTGCAGCCTTAGTCATAGTTCTTTTTTTGGTCAGGTGGTTATTGGCAAGCACCTTTCCTCCAGAAACAGAGCTACAGAGCCTTTAAAATGCTTATAGGCAAGGGATGGAGAACTTACTCTATAGTCCTGAATTTGGATCTCAGTCTATAAATGAGCACACTGGGGTAGCTTTATTATTTTTCACAACGTGCTTTTTCTGTCAGTCATTTTCTTCATTTTTCTTTCCTTCTTAAAACAGGATAAACTAGTGCTCAAAAGGTGATGCATAGTAACATTTCCAGAAATAGGTTCCCAGAATATTGTTTTCTTTAGTATCTTTAGTATTTGACATAATCATAGTACAAATAAACAACAATGAATATGTTGTACTATTCTGTATAACAAAGTTATCCTGTTGTAGGGAGAGACTATAGAAATAATTCACTGTTCATAAGTTCAAACTGGGTTTAATACACATAGAAATATTTTTCTGTCCCTGTCCATTTAATAATCAAAAATTCTTGCCTTCAGAACTATGTGGTATAAAAGCAACTATACTCCAATAAAAATTAATTTAAAAAATTTAAAAGGAATGTGAATTCAAGAAGAAAAACCCAACTATGTGGTATGTATAGATTTTTTAGATAGCAAAAGAGAAGTGAGAAGGCTCAAGCTTTTTTTGTCTTGCTACTGAGAACTAATTCACCTTAGAGCCATATATTCGCCTGTTTCCATCTCAGTTATCTAATTCTCAAACCCTTCTCAACAAAGAAGCAAAAAGGAAAAACAAAAAACAGAATAAAGGATTCAAAGCTCTTTCAGAAGAAGGTGTAGGTAGATACACTCCACTTTCCACTGCTTTTTCACCACTTAGGCTGTTTAGTTCTGTCTCTTAAGATTTAGCATTGGATCATTGTTTTTTAAAATAGGTTTCATATTCATAATAAAAATTTCAGCAGTAAAATAAAACATGCATATCTTATAAATATGCAGTTGTTTTCCATGCCATAAAAGTTCTGTTTTTAAAGAAGTGTTAAGTCCTAGTTAGAAATTAAATTTGATGTAATCAAATGAGTCACAAGAGACTCTTCTTACAAATTAATAATACGTTAATTTACTTTGCTACATTCTGGAAACAGTATCAGAATTGAACTTTTTGAGGGCCCAAGTCAGTATTTGTGATTTTAGCCATTAGGGCTCATGGTTCTTAGCCAAAGGGATATTCCAGGAAGTTGCTCTCTCCTCATCCATCTTATGTTGTCACCTAGAAACACAATGGACCTCAATGTCAGATTGCTCTGGTCACCAAATTGTTTACTGCAGAGTTATTTGTAATAGAACTGGAGATGAAATGGGGGAACAATGGCAACAATGTCAACAGCAACAAGACAAAAATACAAAAGGAAATGTGTACTCAAATGCCAAAATATGTGAATTGATGAGGTTTTGTATATAATAACTTCATGAGTATTAAAAATATCATAAGGACTATTTTTGGTAGAAAATAGTTTATTTTATCAAGTTTTTAGTTTTGGTTACAGTTTTATTAAATATATTCACAGACACATTACTGCAGCCCCAAAAGTTATAAATACTGCTGTGTTATATGAATGAACTTAATTAATTTAACATTTCTAATATCATTGCCACATTTGTGAAGTTTATAAATACCAAGGGGAAGCTCGGAGAACAAAAGAAATTTAATATGAGCTTGTCATCAATGATCATACTGCACAGTCTACTCCTTTTTGCTTCATAATATGTTGAGTGATCTCAACAATAGTTTCCTGGTTATGTTTGTTACTGTGTGCTCAGAAGTAGATAACCAATGAAGCCCATTTGCTTCACAAACCATGTATTAAAATGAGGTTTTTGTACACTCTTCACTGTGAACTTCAGAGCTATGGCAACTCAGAATCTCACTGCTCTTAGTATGTATTTATTTAAATAATTTTTTATGTAATAGACTAATATTTAGAATAGTTTTAGTTTTGCCACAAAATTAAATGGAAATTATACAGAAGTATTTAGCATTTGATGATCCTTTTAGTACTAGTGAATTGTAGGACACAGTATGGCTCTTTCTTTTAAAAAATAATAAAGATGTTGGATGTTTTTTGAAGGAGTATACAGATCATTTTTCCTGTATAGTGTTTACAGGTGAATGTCACAGGTGTAGTCATGAAATAAATGTTACAGTAAGATGGTGTATTTTAGGATACTTGATAGCCAGTAGGAAAATATTTTACTGTTTTACGTAAGGTTCTAGCTCTGAAGAGTTATTCTTGATTCTAGGCTCAGATGATTCTCAAGACATTATACTAATCTCTGTAGCCACTGACACTGCAAGGATATACCAGTTTGGCTACTATTCCACTATCATTAGGGCATGGTATTTTTAAATGTTATTGTTCTAATAATGATTAAAAATAGATCCTACTGTTTTAATATAACTCCGGCTGCCATAAATACCATAGATGCGGTGGCTTACAACAACAGAAATTAACTTTCTCACAGTTTAGGAAACATAGTTTCTACTGAAGACTCCTCCTGGCTTATCTCTGTGTCTTCATGTGGCTTGAGAGGAGAGAGAGCACAAGCTTGCTCTCTGGTGTCTCTTACAAGGTTTTTTTTTTTTAAATTTATTTATTTATTAATTATTGGCTGCGTTGGGTCTTCGTTGCTGTGTGCGGGCTTTCTCTAGTTGTGGAGAGCAGGGTCTACTCTTCATTGCGGTGCACGGGCTTCTTATTGTGGTGGCTTCTCTTTGTTGCAGAGCATGGGCTCTAGGTGCACGGGCTTCAGTAGTTGTGGCACACAGGCTCAGTAGTTGTGGCACACAGGCTCAGTAGTTGTGGCACATGGGCTTAGTTGCTCCGCGGCACATGGGATCTTCCTGGACCAGGGCTTGAGCCCATATCCCCTGCATTGGCAGGCGGATTCTTAACCACTGTGCCACCAGGGAAGTCCCTCTTAAAAGGTTTTTGCCAAGTCTGCAGAGCAATTGCTTTTGGAATAGTAAAATTTAGGCTCTGTAAGTGGAAAGTGGGTCTAATTACATATAGTTTATGATCTTTGTATTTATTTATATGGATTATAGCCCATTAGGAGCAAAGTGGATGAGACCCACAATCAGCGCTTCAAAAACTGAAAAGAACTCAGTGTATCAAGAGGTCCTTTACAATAAAGCTGTCATTATAAATTATATTTTGAAATTACACAGAAAAGATCAGGTAAAAGCAAAGATACTGTGTCAGTTGAGAGTATTCAGAGAAACAGAACCAATAGGATATATAGAGATATATGTAAGAGGAGGTTTATCATAGGGATCGGCTCACGTGGTTATGAAGACTGAGAAATCCCACAGTCTGCCTTCTGCAAGCTATAGAGCCAGGAAGTCTGGAATTATAATTCATTTTGAGGCCGTAGGACTGGGAGCTGTTGGTGTGAGTCCCGGAGTCCCAGGACCCAAGAACTAGGAGTTCAGATGTAGTAGCCCAAGAAGAGAGACAATTTGTCCTTCCTCTGCCTGTTTGTTCTGTTCAGGCCATCAAAGAATTCGATAATGCCTATCACATCATCATGATGAGGGCAAGTCTTTTTTACTCAATCTACTGATTCAAATACTAATCTTTTCCAGAAACACCCTCACAGATACACTCAGAAATAATATTCTACCAGCTATCTGAGCATCCCATAGCCCAGTCAAGTTGACACACAAAATTAACCATCACAGATAGCTCTCTTTTTCTACCATTCCCCCTTTGTCATCTACATTATGGTCCTTCTATACTCTGTGTACATCATTATGTTCTCAGGGGGTGTAATTTGACTGGCACTACACTTGAATCCTTGAAATAGCAAGTTGTTTATAGTAAGGGTTTATGCCCTTCTTATTTCATTACATATAGTAAAATTATATTTAGATAGAAAAACAATGGTAGCCTAGCTGGTTCTGCTTCATCTCCTCTGATCATTTAACACACATTTTTCTCTCTAATTAAATTATTATTCTTTTCTCTGTTCAGTGGAATTATCTCAGAGCTTCTGTGGTATTTCCGTAATTTCTTTGAGAATTTATTTTAATGGTTTTTCCACCGAAGAATCAAATAATGAACCCCGCAAAATACATTAGGATTGATTACAAAGTTGGAATATTACATTCTCTGATGATCTTTCAAGACTAGGACAAACTGCTTTATTAGTTCATTATTCTTGAACTCATTTCATATAAATTTTAAATACAAAGTTTCTAAATTATAAAAAATTTAGAATACGTTTTGTTAAAATGCTTTGAT